AGAGGAGCCATGACAAATTCTCTCCGATCTACTGGCGGTGCCATGATTCTCACTTGTTATTACGAGTTTACAAAATATCTATAAATGTTTTACAATAAGATACTGTGACTTGGCTTGATTGAATCTTCTTATACAGCTGCAGTGAGAAAGATACCTTGTCATATTTTCGTTGGCGGAATCCAAGCTCCCAGGTAGCCTAGAGGTGATGCATGATGTGTGCCAAAGCTATGACTATTATATCTATCACTAGCTTACAAATCCGATTACGCCCTGCTCGTCTAGAATAGCGCGTAGTTTTCTGTATTGAAACAAATATTTTCTTGAAAAGGTGACAGTTTAGCTTTTAGGATTCAAAGTGTAATAATCGTCTTTCAAGAAATAGCTATCGTACTATCAGCATGCTACATACAGCCTTCAATCAACTAATAGCAATTAGGAACGGAAAACATTGTTCCGAAAAAAAAACATCATCATTAGCAAGTTTACCAATTTTCAGCATATCAGAGCGTTGAAGTGTGACAAGACCATTGACAAGTCTTCAAGTGGTCATTGTATGCAGCATATTAACTTACTCCAGCACACTAATTCCTAGCCCCTTTGAGCTAATATTACGAAAAAAACTATGAAGTCAATTTCTATGTTTCGAGTGGTTATCATCGGTAGTCACCATCACCTTCAACTGCCAGCATTCAAAGAGGAGGATGCAAAAAAACGGCAAATCAACAAAATTGAGCGAAATCTGTTTTATAGATTGGCCCATGTTAGACGGTGTGCGTCCAAACATATGTTGTGAATTTGGATCCGGACGGTTCAGAAAAATGTGTATTCGACACATACACACACGTATACCCACGCATACACACATACACGCACATACACAGGTGGTACGTAACATTCAAAAGCATCTCTTTTAAGCTTTCTCTTCATATACCGCGTATCATATCAATTCAAGATTTTCAAAATTCCAGAAACGTATTTCGTGAGTTGGTTGAGTTTTGTACACCTTCGAGTACTTGTCTATTGTCTATATATCTTTGACAAACAACTAGTGAACAAATCATCTTTGTGCTCAAGACGATATATAGTATATCTTATCGCAGATAAATTAACCTTTTTAACACAATCTTGCACCTGTCCGAGAATATCAAGTAGGGTGTACTGTGTCGGAGAATATCAAGTAGAGCGTATTTGAAAACGGTAAGTCGTAAGGATGGCTTTTTTGTTGAGCTGGTAGACAACTGCTTCAAGAGACTTCTTCACCAAAATGGGTCATACTGCAGTGTTATCACATCAGTTAATCAGGATACTATCAGAACCATTCTTCTCAGACTATACTTGGTAATGTTCATTCATTCCCTACTGGTACTACGCGATGGTCTCTTATGGCAAATATATTAGGAAAATTTTGAGGCGCAAAGGCCCACACAAGGCAATGGCGTCGCGAATGAAGTATTGGAGACAACGAACTGGTGCTTTGAACACTAGCATGGGGTTGGATATGAGGTACGTTCCACATTACGCATAATAGTTTATGAGGGGAAAATACTTAGTCTTGGTAATCCAAAGAGTGATACATATAGATACAGTTCAAAACACTAATCCCAGACCTCTTCCATATCCGCGAAGCGATGAATTTGACACTTTTAGCTTTTAAGAATGGTTTAACCTGTGGAAATTGCTCCAAACTCTGCCTTTAACCCCAAAGGGCAGAAACCGAAATGTTACTGGCGTCTTCACCAAATGATTACTCCTTTCGTTATTGTTTTAGTTTGAACTTGATATCCACGTGTGCGAAAATAGGCTCATAGCTGCAAAAAGGAAACAAAAGAGATAGCCGTCTCAGTAGCACATTCTATTTTTGTCAAAGTTTGCACATCGTCATGATGGTTGCGATAATTTTGGAATCCATACACACGACTAGCA